GGGGTGTTGGCAGAAAATGAAAAGAACAGAAAGAAGGAACATTGAAAATAGAGTTCTGTTTTCATAATGGAATCGAAATTACTGTGCAGAATTTCGCTCTTTTCCTTGCGCTGCCGTAAAATATTCAGCCATAGCGGCCACAGAGTTTGAACAGAAAAGTGGCAGGAGTACACGTGTTATTTGAAAAGAATAGCGGCCAAAGCGCAAGCGTTTGTGTTTAAATATAAAATGAGAAAGTTCGTATTTTATAACAATAATAATAATATTATATATATATATATAATATATATATGCAATTTGTAGTTCAAAAGCAACACTGCCTCACAGCGCAAGCTCCCGCTGTATCTGGTTATCTAATGTCGGGGCAGAAAACATCAGCTCTGCTTCAGATGTCTCGCTCTGCTGTCCCGGCGAGGGAAATCCCCGCACGTAAATATTTCATGCTGTTGCTGGTTTGTGGCCGAGCACCCAGGAAATGAGAGGCTGGCAGGGGGGACAACTCTGGGTGTGTCCCGGCTCTTGTCTCGCCGGAAGCTTCCAGTCGTCTGCTTGTGTCGTCACTTCCGTGGTTGCTCGTTTGAAGGTAAGATGTGCCAACGCGTATTCTTTCTTATTAAAAAAAAATAGTTTGACGCTCAACTAAACACACACACACACACACACACACACACACACACACACACACACACACACACACACACACACACACACACACACACAAAGCCTTTCCGTTGGCTAAACTAAAATATGTGCCAAGCCGTTTGTTACGGATACCGAAATCTCAGATGTGTGAGGGTTTTTTGTTTTGTTTTGGGTTTTTTCTGTTTTTGTTTTGTTTGTTTGATTTGTGTGATAGCAGTGCAAATGAGTACCTGAAGCTTAGCGGTGTGTGCTTGACGGCATTACAATATTCTGTGTCCCACGAGGCGCTAAGACTAGATACAGTTAGCTGAGGATGTTGTCCTGAAGTGAGCCAATCGCTGCAGAAGATACACGACTGTAAATCCTGACTTTTGATCTTCAGGACTGAAGAAATATGTGTGTTGGTGTGTGTGTGTGTGTGTGTGTGTGTGTGTGTGTGTGTGAGAGAGAGAGAGAGAGAGAGAGAGAGAGACGAGAGAGAGAGACGAGACGAGAAGCAGACAAACTGTCCAGCAGAGGGAGAGAGGAAGACAGACACCTCTAAAAGGAAATTTACTAAGAACCTAGCGGGTACACCCCGGGGCTGTGCTACTGACTAAAGTGTCTTGAGGCCATTGCCAGGGGGGGGACATTAACATCTCAAGATCTTATGCACAGTAGAATTGAAATTCTAAATGGACTGATTCATCAATGTCATGCTCATAACTGTGCCTGAGCTGCAACAGGGAACTGCTGCTTTTTCTTTCCTAATCCTTACTATCGTCATTTTGTCTCTACTACCTTTGTATGTTTGTCACACTCTTGTGACCCGCTATTTTCCGGGGTGCCTTGATAGCCGAGTAGACTTTGTGCTGTTAAGGTTAGAGAGGTGAGCAGAGTAAGCCCGATTCCCTGTAAGGACTTCTCTGTTGACATCCACCCCTTGGCACTCAAATGACTTATGCAGTTGCGAGCACCGTAATACCTCTTACTAAAAATTTTTTTTTTTTAAAGAAAGAACCTGGCGGAACATGTTTATTGTGTCAGTTTTGCGTTTGTTCTTCTTTGTTATGTCATACATCTAGTGACATGCACATGAAAACATAAAATATCAATGTACAAGAACTTGTCAAGTTTTGCATTTTACTTAATTTATGTTGACTCTTTTAAAACTTAACAATTCTTAAAAACGTTGATTGATTTTTTTTGTTCGTATTGACAAATTGAATCGAACGTTTCCGACGTTGGATTTTATTTGTTTGGAGTGTTGTTGAAGTTGATGGGAAAATGACGGTGTTCCTGCCCTTTGAATGGGTCTTTTTTTAGACACCCTGTATCTTTCTCGCCCGTGTGTGTGTATGCATGTATGTATATATTTAGTTACAACTCCGCTACCTGAAAAAGGCACCTGATACCTTTTGTCGCGAACAGTTCCCAGACCCCGGCACACGCCTGTGTTCTGGACAAGATAACCTTTGCTCAGGAGAAAGTTCACCGCTGGAATTAGCCTTTGAGGGGTACATCAGCTCAGGTAACGAGAACATTAAGTTCGCAGCGCTTTAGGAAACCTGACTCGATATCTCTGGTCGTGGAGGAAGATACGCCCAGCCTTATCACCACTGCACTTTTTGTGTTTCTCTCTCTCTCTCTCTCTCTCTCTCTCTCTCTCTCTCTCTCTCTCTCTCTCTCTCTCTCCGTGTGGAGAGCTCGGAGCGCGATGCTCAACGTTGTTTGTTCTCTCTGATGTGGTCTGCTTTTACTACTTCTTTCATTTAAAAAATTAATCTAATCTGTTCCTGGCGAATGTTTCCTTCCTTTTGCGTTCCGACGCGCTGTGTCAGCGACATGCAGAGTAAAGGCATAGAACGACCGCCCCCACCCCCATCTCGTCTTTTTTTCCTCGAAAGTGTGCCGTCTTTTTTTCCTCGAAAGTATGCTTGAAGTGGCATTCAGATTACCTGGAAGAAGGATTAGTTG